CTCCCAGCACAGATGTATGGGAACAGACATCCTGTTAATTGATGTCCTGTCCTAATCTATGGATATAAAGATCCTGTTTTGCAGCCAGGGACCCTGACCTTACTCTGCACTTACAGTCGTTCGTCAAAAGCTTTGTGAAATGACGTTACAGCAGATAAGCTGGGATCTTTCATAGGGGGAGTTGTCTTCTTCTGTGAATTACTGACATTCTAAGTTGGGCACATGTGCTGACTATGCAAACGGGAGGTTCTCATTAGAGCAGGCCAGCTGCGGGTTCCTTATCGCTTGGGGCCAGGTGGCTGACCGGCTGACCGCAGATATCTCGCCTGGCTTCTCCGCCCTTGTTTTCAAGTCGAACTTCCCTGCTCTAATTACTTGCGTTGCTCCAAAGTTTAAGCCTTGCAAAATGGCATTACTGCTGCTTAGTGAGTGGGGGTCTTTCATTCCCCCCTTTTTTTTTATCATGGATTTAATCATAAATCCATGTGTTTAAAGACCTCTACGTCATTCTGCTTTAATATCTGATATTGCTGGGAGAGTACCATGGTTTGGATAACTGAAAGTCTGTCTTTTATAAATTGCACCAGGCGATTTAAAATGTAGGGGCCGATTGTAAAGATAAGAAGTAAAATAAGTAGGGGCCCAGCTATAGTGGAAATTAAGGCTTTTAACCATGGTGATTTATTAAACCATCCTTTAAAATATCCTTGTTGAGAAGATAGTAGAACATCTCTAGGGTTTGCAGAATAGCTCTTAGCAAAACTATCTGAATGAGGCTTGAAAGTAACTACATGGTAGACATTGTGAACCACTGTAGACCCGAGAATAGCACCCAACATTGTGGCAATAATAGTCTATTGACTACAAAGAGCTTAACTCAGCCCTAAGAAACACATGGATGCCTTCTCCTAAGAGGCAAGTTTAGTATTATGAAGACAAATCTCTTTTGCTGTAGACACCGGGAGTGTTGTTCCTCAGCTCCAGAGAATGTGCCGGAGAAGTCAGTTTCGGTCCAGCTGGCACCACATGGCATTTACGAGTTTCCATTGCATCCCGTAGCATCAGCTTTATCCAAATGTACAGGGTTGTGTCCATTGTGAGAACTTTAACAAACAATGAGAGAAAATGCAATACAGGATGACAAATGTTTAAAACAAAACAGAAAGCCCTAAAGCCAGAGGACAGCCAATGAGGACATAAATATCTTTTTGAGACTGACCTTACCCAGGCTTCACATTTGTAAGTACAGCATCAAAAAGTTTTAACATCCCATTGATATCTATTTTATTATATATTAAATTACATCTGCTTACCTTTTGAAAGTCATATCATTTTATAACCCCATAGATTAAAACAAGATTTTCCTGTAGAAAAACAAAACCTGTCAAGAGGTAAGGAGGCTTTAGGTGTGTTTGCTTCTCTCTGCAGTTATCTGCACAAAACGGTCTGATCTGGAAAAGTCTCAAACTGTACTAAATAATTCCTGTCAATAGGTCCCAGACACACAAAGGAGGAACAGAACAGAATTGTCTTTTGCTTCTGCTGTCTGATATTATGCTTTAAAAGACATTAAAAATGAGCAGAGCCCTGTGGGTTTCTGACTTTAGGAAAGAAGAGCCTTAAAGGTGATGTAAGCCCATCTTACAGCAGATGTGTCTGCCCTGTGCAAGCCTTGAGCTCAGGATTCCATCATCAAGGTCAACCATTGTCAGCAGATACATGAGCAGCAGCTAACTAGCCAGGCAACAGAGCTAGTGGCAACGATGCCGGGGTGTTTTGAACCCAGAACAGGACAGGAGGGAGGGAGGTCTGTCCAGTCATTTTTGCTGGTCTCCAGGGCCAATTATATCAATTTGTTTTTTTGTTTTTTTTTTTTTTTTTAGAATCTTACTTATCCTATCTATCTGACCTGAGCTTTGGGGTTGGTAAGCTTAAGTTCCAATTGATTTCCAATATCCTGGCCACACCCTAACTTACCTGGGCAACAAAGGCAGGCCTATTATGGGACATGATTATCTTGGCCATCCCAAACCTTAGGATGATTTTTTTTTTTTTGATCTTCTTAGCCATTACATTGGGTGTCTCAATCTTGGTCAATGTATGATGGCTATCTTCTTTGGCAAATGCGTGGCCTCCTGGAGGCTCAAAATTTCCGCAGATGTCAACAGTCCTTTTTGTCTGTATATTGCTTTATATATATATATATAGGTGAGGGCAAAAGCATACCTGCTGTTAGTATAGACGTTTCCTCTGCCTTCTGTAGAGCTTGTATCAAAGCCACAAGTTCAGCGTTCTGGTTGGGCCGCCATCCCTGAGGGGAGGCTACTGGCCCAGATCATTTGCTTCCTGTCCACCAATGTTGCCCCCGCCTTCCGCTTACCTTCAGTCTTCTGTACCTGCTTAGCTCGGACCGCCAGCCTTGTACCCCTGGCAAGCTTCACCCTCATTTTCCATCGACGTCAGCCCAGCACAGGAGCAGTAGTCTGGCACAGGAGGGCACCTGTGGTAGCATGGTGACTGCTGTATCGCAGTCTGACATGGGTGAGGGGAGCAAGACTGTAGAGTGAGCAGTCAGGGCTCATGCAGGCTTTAGAGCAAGCACAGCACCAAGGCAGTTGCTAGGAGGTGAGGATTTCTTCAGCAGTGAAGGCAGGAGAGGTGGTCGTCCTGGTGAGGAGGGCGTGGTAGAGACAGAGGCAGACAAGCAGCCTGTGTCTCCTGCAGAACTGAAAACAGCAGCGAAAGCAAAAGTCCCTCGTTTGGTCAACAAAAGGCTTTGGTCATACATTCAGAAGTGACCAGGGAGGAACAAGTCATTTATTTGTCTTTTTCCCAAATTTATAGTTCGTAAGGTGTCCAGTTTGTATTCTTTACTCAGTTCCAGTGTCCCTCTTTATCTGTCTTTGATCTTCTGTTGCCCAGGCTCCTAATCTGTCTGAGTCCTATCTTTCTTTTGCTTCCCGCCTCTCTCTCTCTCTCTCTCTCTCTCTCTCTCTCTCTCTCTCTCTCGAGTACAAACAGATATACAAAACAAAGAACATATTAAGCACAAAAATACACAGACAATACAGATGCGCTGGCGCGGTTTCGGCATAATGCCGAAAGCAAAATTTCAGACGGAGACTCTGAGGATCCGGATTCCTCGTCTCCCAGAAGAATCACGTACCCTTCGGACTGTGGGGGCGCCCCAAACAATCCTATTCGGTAAGGATTCACAGAGTTACCGATGGGCCAGGCACCACATCCGGCCCCAGATGCCTCTGAGACGTCTCCCAGGGCTGCGGTCGGGAGTGCGAGCCCGTCGGCTCCTCCGCGGGTCCGCCCGATACAGATCTAGTCAGCCAACTAGTACAGATTCGGTCGCAGGCGCAAACACAGAAACACCGAAGCACAGACATTCACGGAAAACAATCGCTGGCCAGCTTACCTCCCGGTGGTGGGTCGGTGATCCCTGGGCAGGGGTCTCCAGATCTCGGTGGAACCTCCAAATGAAAGACCCCAATGTTGGGCAGTCTTTCAGGCTGAGGAGACCCTCCCAAGGAACAGCGAGTCACTCTTCGGATGCAAATAGCAAGAGGCTTTATTTAATACACAGGTACCTGGGGCGGCTTAGTCTCTCGGAAGACAAGCGCGCCTGCAGACTGGGGGAAGGTCTTTTTATAGGAAAGAGGGCAGCAGAAGCAGATTACAGAAGCAAATGCATCGTTAGTGGTCAGTTGGAATGGGGCAAGGGGCACAGGTGGTTTTTCCTCTCCCAGCACAGATGTATGGGAACAGACATCCTGTTAATTGATGTCCTGTCCTAATCTATGGATATAAAGATCCTGTTTTGCAGCCAGGGACCCTGACCTTACTCTGCACTTACAGTCGTTCGTCAAAAGCTTTGTGAAATGACGTTACAGCAGATAAGCTGGGATCTTTCATAGGGGGAGTTGTCTTCTTCTGTGAATTACTGACATTCTAAGTTGGGCACATGTGCTGACTATGCAAACGGGAGGTTCTCATTAGAGCAGGCCAGCTGCGGGTTCCTTATCGCTTGGGGCCAGGTGGCTGACCGGCTGACCGCAGATATCTCGCCTGGCTTCTCCGCCCTTGTTTTCAAGTCGAACTTCCCTGCTCTAATTACTTGCGTTGCTCCAAAGTTTAAGCCTTGCAAAATGGCATTACTGCTGCTTAGTGAGTGGGGGTCTTTCATCTGGGTGCCAACCAAATAAGTTCTCTGTCATTTTTTAATCAGTAACTCAAGTAAAATCTTATCCTTCTCAAAGATCTCTGACAGTTTGATAGCTGAGAGGTTTTCCAAGATTACCTCACCAAATAAATTTTAAATCAAATTTCTCTCCTATACTGCTTTCCATGTGTCTAAAACTTCTGTTTTTACAAACCCAAGGAGTTCTCGTGAGTTCCAGGGAGCCAAATTAAAAAATCCATCTTAAACAGGTCAGATACCCCCTCAATTCCCTGGTCCAAAAAATTTTTTTTCCTTAATTTAACTTTGTTTTTTGTTCTACCAATACCTTAGGAACACCAGACAATTCCCATGCCACAGACATCGGTCAGAAGCAAAGAGACCAGCTATGACAGGATGTGACCAGCACCCAGCCTTCTCTTGCCCCCCCCCCCAAAGATGATGCCCACAATCAACCGGAAGCAGTCTTGAGAGTTCGCCGCCCCAGTTCCTTTGGGCTGTGGTGTCTGGTCTCCTCCTTTTTATTGTAAGGAAGACCTGGGAATGTTGTGCTTTCCTGTCGCTTTAAGGGACAAGCCACGCCCACCTCTTTTTTACCTCTGACCTCCACCGCCATCTCTCTCTCTCCTGTTTTCTCCCAGTGAACACAAGGGGCTTTGCCTCTCTCCTCCTTCTCTCTCTCTCTCTCTCTCTCTCTCTCTCTCTCTCTCTCTCTCTCTCTCTCTCTCTCTCTTCTCTCTCTCCCTTAATAAATATTTATGGGTATCTTTTGTGTCTATGTATCTGTTACCTGCCGCCACGCGGAGCATGCCCTCCCTTTGGTGGGAAACTGTAGCCGCTTGTCACATGTGGACCTACAACCATCTCTTCGGGGCTAGCAGCTGCCGCAAACATCTTAGGAATAAGACTCTGTGTACTTATTTCAGTTCCTTGAATAAGACACCAAGAACCTGGAAGCACTCAATTCAGACAGTGGGCATTGGTGCATTGGTAACATATTAGCCATTGTTATGGGTCCATGGGGAAGCAGAGCAACTTAGTGGCAAGATCATTTGACAGAGGAGGCTGCTCCCAGCATAGTGACCTAGAAGCAGAGAGAAATGGAGAATGGGACAGGAACAAGATACACCCTTCAAAGGCCCACCCGCCCACCCACTGCCAGTGACCTACTTCCTCCAACTAGACTCCGCCTACTCATCACCTTCCTGTAGAGGCATCCAGTAAATGGATCCATGGCTGGATTAATCCACTGCTGATGTCAGAGGTCTCATGATCCAATCCCCATTGTTCTGGTTTATTTTTGTCAACTTGATACAAGAGTCATCTAGGAAGAAGGAACTTCAATTAAGAACACACCTAAGACTGATGTGTGGGAGGGAGTGGTCCTGGTTTGTATAAAAAGTAAGCCATGGGGAACAATCATTTCTCCATTGTCGGGGGGCTAGTCTTGACAAAAATACCCTCTTCCAGAGTGGAGGCATGGAAAATTTTAAATATAGTAAAGAACACAAAGATGAACAGAAATAATAAATGCAGAAACATATAGGATAGTATCAGGAGGGAATTCCAGTGAGTACTGGAAATTCACCCGTGCTTAATTTCCAACTGGTTAATATACCCCTGACCCCAAAAGGTAGGAGTAAAACAAAAGACTGTATTAAGATACAATTGAAAGTCACGGACTACATTAATTGCTCATGCCCTTCACTCACACCCAAGACCAAACACTCTGTAGGCAAACCACACCCTGGGTGGAATCCCAAGTCATTTTCATAAGGGGAACTGGAACTTAGTTGGATCCTTAGACTTTTTTTTTTCTTTAGGTAGGAACCAACTACTTCCCTACTTCAGGAACAGGAGGTCTGAGCCTTGAGAGAGCAGAACTCTGATTTGCCCAGAGGTGGGACCTTTGTTTGAGTTAGGGGCGGCACAAGAACCTTGAATGAACTAAAAACAAGTCCCAAACTTTGACCTTTGGCCTCTTTGAACCTCCACACTCCATGATCTCTGCTTCTGTCTCTGCTTGAATTGCTGTGAAATACAATTGATGTTTTATTAAGTATGATGCTATGATTTGAAGCTAAAATGTATTCTGAGGGCTCTTGTTAAAGGTATGGCTGCCAGTTAATGGGTGTTCTAGTCTGCTTTTGTGCCCGTGATGAAACACCATGACCAAAGCAACTTGGGGAGGAAAGGGTTTATTTCAGCTTACACTTCCATGTTATACTTCAATGTTCACATTGTATTTCTTTTCCCCATTGAACATTGTATAAAGAAGTAAAGCAAGAAAAAGAAATCAAAGTTTAAATACCTGTAAGAGAATAGTTATTACTTGTAGCTTATATAATATATACATATATATATACACAGAAAACTACACAAACACACATACATATATTGTAGAACTTTAAGACAATTCTGAAGCCATTTCTGATAACTCTCAGTACTTCCCCTCCTCCCCTGGGAACCAAGGACATAACAGCTATGCATGGCTGTACTGAGATGTTGGGAACTTTCCATCTCCCTGAATAGGGGCATGATAACCTTTAGGTGTTGACTCAGTTACTGATGTTTTGACTTAGTCCCTGGGAAGGGGCAAAGTGACCCTCAGAAGTTTCCCTTTATCTCATCTGATCTGGCAACCACTCTCCAGCCAATTATTGGTAATAGCCATTTTAAATAAGCCAATGATAATAGTTAAAAAAACAACCCCCAGACACCCCTTCCTTCTGTGGTTTTTCCCTTTAAAAATAGCCTGTACCAGGGCTGGAGAGATGGCTCAGTGGTTAAGAACATTGCCTGCTCTTCCGAAGGTCCTGAGTTCAAATCCCAGCAATCACATGGTGGCTCACAACCATCTGTAATGAGGTCTAGTGCCCTCTTCTGGTCTGAAGGCATACACGTAGACAGAATATTGTATACATAATAAATAAAATGAATATTTAAAAAAAAATAGCCTGGGGGCTGGAGAGATGGCTCAGTGGTTAAGAGCATTGCCTGCTCTTCCAAAGGTCCTGAGTTCAATTCCCAGCAACCACATGGTGGCTCACAACCATCTATAAAGAGGTCTGGCGCCCTCTTCTGGCCTTCAGGCATACAGACAGAATATTGTATACATAATAAATAAATAAATAAATAAAATAGCCTGTACCAGACATTCAGGGTCTTCTAGCCTCCTGACTGCTGGAAGACCCTGTCATGACAGAATTAATAAAATCCTCATGCTTTTACATCAGCTGTGATGTGAGAGATGGTCTCTTAGGGTGACTCCTCCTCCTCGGTGATTGGACACTAGGGTCCAACAATATATCTAAAAGAATCCATAAAAAGTCCAGAATCTTGCTGGGCGGTGGTGGCGCACGCCTTTAATCCCAGCACTTGGGAGGCAGAGGCAGGTGGATCTCTGTGAGTTCGAGACCAGCCTGGTCTACAAGAGCTAGTTCCAGAACAGGCTCCAAAACCACAGAGAAACCCTGTCTCGAAAAACCAAAAAAAAAAAAAAAAAAAAAAAAAAAAAAAAAAAAAAAAAAAAAAGTTCAGAATCTTTTAAGATTTATTTTAAAAAAAAATTTAATGCATGAATGTTTTGCCTGTCAGCTCCAATCCATGTTAAAAAATTACAGCTTGGGGCTGGAGAGATGGCTCAGCGGTTGAGAGCACTGGCCGCTCTTCCAGAGGTCCTGAGTTCAATTTCCATCAACTACATGGTAACTCACAACCATCTGTAATGAGACCTGGCGCCCTCTCCTGGCATGCTTGCATACATGTAGGCAGAACACAGTATACATTAAATAAATGAATAAAAGAAAAAAATTACTTTTAAACCAAGCGGTGGTGGCGCATGCCTTTAATCCCAGCACTCAGAAGGCAGAGACAGGTGGATCTCTGTGAGTTCGAGGCCAGCCTGCTCTAGAGAGCTAGTTCCAAGACAGGCACCAAAGCTACAGAGAAACCCTGTTTCAAAAAATAAAAACAAAAAGCAAAAAACAAAACAAAAAAATAATGTCTTAAGGCTAGGAAGGCAGAGCAGGCAGATCTCTGTGAGTTCAAGACCAGCCTGGTCTACAAAGCAAGTACTAGGACAGCAAGGGCTGTTATACTGAGAAACCCTATCTTGAAAACAAAAACAAAAAATAATAGCTTGGGGATCCATCAAGGTGGCTGGCTCAGCAGGTGAACTTGCCTGGCAAACCTGATGACTTGAGTTCATTACCGGGAACCACACTGGAAACAGAGAACTCATTCCCAAACGTAGTTCTCTAACTTTTTTTTTTTTTTTTTGGTTTTTCAAGACAGGGTTTCTCTGTGGTTTTGGAGCCTGTCCTGGAACTAGCTCTTGTAGACCAGGCTGGTCTCGAACTCACAGAGATCCGCCTGCCTCTGTCTCCCAAGTGCTGGGATTAAAGGCGTGCGCCACCAACGCCCGGCCGTAGTTCTCTAACTTCCACATACACTCTGTGGTGTGTATGCTGTGGCACATGTCACCCATACACAGGACAACAACGATAACGACGATGATGATTAACTTAAAATTACATGGAAAATACATAGAAAAATTGGCCAAGTAGGCCAGGTGTGATAGTAGTCCCAGCAGTCTGGAGGCTAAAACGTTAGGATTAATTCAAGACCAGTCTAGAGGCTATATTAGAATACAGGGTGAGACTCTGTCTCAAACAAAACAAGACAAAATGCCAAAGCATACATACAGGGGCTGGGGATATAGCTCAGCAATAGATCACTTGCCTAGCATCCATGAGGGCCTGGGATCACATACAAAAATATATCAGAGAAACCCTGTCTCGAAAAACAAAACAAAACAAAATATATACACACACACACACACACATAGAAGCCAGGCAGTTGTAACACAGGTCTTTAATCCCAACACTCAGGAGGCAGAGACAGGAGGATCTCTGAGTTCGAGGTCTACAGAGTGAGTTCGAAGACAGCCAGGACTATACAGAGAAACCTTGTCTCTACTTCAAAAACCCAACACACATGCATGAGAACAATTAGGCTGACCAGACCCCTTTCCCCCATAGGGGCCTGGTGTACAAACAGCACACTCGTTTGGAGTGACCTGACCTTGGAGACAATCTTCTGAAGGCTCTTCGAGCTCTGACCTCAATGTCGCCTCCAATCTAGGCCCCAGACAGGTATTCGCTGTGCCCTAGGGAAGCCTCAGGTCTCCACGGCCAGGGGTCTCACTGTCCAGGCCATCACGTCCACCTGAATCATGCCTCAGAATAAGGAACATCGGATGGAGGCCCTACGTAAAGCCAAGTTCAAGCTCTCCGTGCTGCCAGAGGCAAGTGGTGTTATTAAGCCCCTTCCTCCCACTTTCTTGCCCTGGTCCTCCTCACTGAGTTCTTCTTTGTCTGTCTCTCTCAAAGAGGTGAGGCTTCACTAAACTGAATGTAGATTGATCTGAAGACACAGTCGCTGAGAAGTGACTCGTTCCTGATGGCCGAGGGGTCAGCTGCATCACCAATCCTGGTCCCACGGGCATTGGCGGGCCCCGCACTCCTCGGGGCTTCTACTGTGGTGCTACCCTCTACCCTACTAAATCACCTGTCATCTCAGTCCTCAGGAGGTGGAAGAATTAAGATGAGAGGTTCAGAGTCATCCTTGGCTAGACAGTGAGTTTCAGGCCATCCTGATCTATGTAAGATTCTGTCTCAAAAAAGAAAAAGAAACTAGTAGTCTAAGAAAGGCAACATAAATCCCAACAAGAAGCCAGGTAGTGGCACACTCCTTTAATCTGAGCACTCGGAAGGCAGAGGTAGGTGGATCTCTGAGTCTGAGGCCAGCCTGGTCTACAAAATGAATTCCAGGACAGCTGGGGTTGTTGCACAGCTTGTCTCAAACCAAATCGAACAAAACGACAATGAGAGAGAGAGAGAGAGAGAGAGAGAGAGAGAGAGAGAGAGAGAGAGAGAGAGAGAGAGAGAGAGAGAGAGAGAAAGAGAGAGAAATCCCAACTTAGTGTTTACATTCTCTGGTGTGGATTACTTTCTTCTGTGTCTTTCTTTCTCTTAACCCTAGTGCTTAAAATCCACATTAACATCTTTTCACAAACTCCATCTCTGCCAGGTAGATTAAAACGTACCTTTAATCCCAGCACTCAGGGAGCAGAAGCAGGAGGATTTCTGTGGATTAGAGGCCAACGTGGTCTACAGATTGTGTCCCAGACCAACAAAGGCTATGTAGTAAGACCCTTTTACAGAAAAAGTGTTAAATGTTGGGCCTAGAGAGAAGGCTCAGCAGTTAAGAGCACTGGCTGTTCTTGCAGAGGACCCAGGTTCTCTTCCCATCATCCACATGGCAGCTCACAACTGTCTGGAACTGTACTTTCAGGGGATCTGATGCCCTCTTCTGACCTCTTTAGGCACCAGACACAAATGTGGTGCACAGTTACACATGCAGACAAAACACCCATATACATAAAATACCTTTTTTTTTGATTTTTCTAGACAGGGTTTCTCTGTAGCTTTGGAGCCTGTCCTGGAACTAGCTCTTGTAGACCAGGCTGGTCTTGAATTCACAGAGATCCACCTGTCTCTGCCTCCTGAGTGCTGGGATTAAAGGCGTGCGCCACTGCCACCCACAAAATAAAATATTTTTTAAATGCCAAGTGCATTGGCTGTATTGAGGACACCATATCTGTGCAGTGGACGTGGGAGGGAGAGGCAGGAAGTCCATATCTCTTCTGACCAGTGAGTCCCTTGCCAGCAGCTAGAGACCCAGGCACACAGCCAGGAGATAGCACAAGACCAGTAGAGGCTGCCTCCCTACCTATAAATGAGTGGCATACAGCTGGTCTGTATATATAGATCAGGGTGACGCATCTGCAAAGGGTACTAGTAAGAGGGACAAGCCCTATGCAGGATTGTAGCAGCATAGTTCCTTTTGGGTAAAAGTCAACATAGGTCACTTATGTTACCAGCTGCAGCTGCTCCTGCAGGCTGTTTCCATTACAGAGACTGAGGCTGCTTGTCCATCCTTCCTCCTCCTTTTTCTTTTCTCCCTCCACCCCCCTCTTTTCTTTTTTCTGTTTTTTTGTTTTGTGTGTGTGTGTGTGTGTGTGTGTGTGTGTGTGAATAGGCTCTCACTGTATAGCTCTGACTGGCTAGGAACTTTCTTTCTTTTCTTATTTTTTTTTCAAGACAGAATTTCTCTGTGTAACAGCACTGACTGGGAACATTCTATATGAACCACCATCAGCATTTGTCACCCCAAAAGCCAAACTGTCATCCCATATCCAAAAGGCCTTATTAGCCATGTCCCCCTGTTTGTGGGTTGCTCCATCTTTCTTCGTCATCTCCATGCACTCTCTCTGTTGAGAAAGTACATCCCAGGGTAGAAGTCCTGAATTCTCCCGTCTTTGTCACCTGCACCTATTCAGTACCAGGCTTTCAAGATCCTATGTCTAGCCGGGCGGTGGTGGTGCACGCCTTTAATCCCAGCACTTGGGAGGCAGAGGCAGGTGGATCTCTGTGAGTTCAAGGCGAGCCTGGTCTACAAGAGCTAGTTCCAGAACAGGCTCCAAAGCTGCACAGAGAAACTTTCTCTTAAAAAAAAAAATCCTATGGTCCCCTAAACACATCTGCAATGCATTTGTTTCTTTCCATGTCTATAGCAGCAACCCTAATCCAGTCCTCCCCCCATACCAGGGCTCTAGGTTTGTACTTGATTAAATGCAAAGCTGTTGAGAAAGTCTGGGAAGGCAAGCTCAAGTTCTGGAGCTTAGCAGCTGTGACCATGACTTACTGACCTTTGCACCCTTGAAGTCCACCCTCTACCAATCTTATGCTCCAGTCAGGGGACAAATACAGAACAGGGGCATGTCATCCCTTTCTTTCCTGCTCTCTGCCTGCCAAAGTTCACAGTTCAAGACCACATGGCCATATGGATACAGGTTGGAACCCTGTAGATAACCCTCAGCTTTGTTACTTACTAGCCATGAAACTTCCCTTGCGCTGCTGCTCCCCCCCCCCCTCCATCTGTTGCCCGGAGGAAATGACCAAAGCTCTTTCTGGAGTTACTGGGAGGACAAAATGTGTTAATATCATTGGATATTTAGCAGTTTCTTTTTCTCTAGATGGATGGTCAATGGTCACTTCGTGGGAGGCTAGGAAATGCCCACCTTGGCAGTGACCTGGTCTTAGCAGCTCCAGTCAGGTCCCTATAGCCAGTCCTCTACTGCACCTGCTGAAGTCAGCAAAGGGGAGTAAAAGCCTGCCTTCTGTTGTTAGACAAAGGGGCGGATCAGAATGGGTTGGGCTCTCAGCCTGGGCTCACTGGGATGTGTTGGGCTGGTCACAGTTGCATTGTGGGGCAGGAGACTGGAGCTCCACTGAGACCGCTCCTGGGTAAGCAACTGCTCCTCAGAACATTGGTGGCCCACCAGGTAGGTAGGAGCTAGGGGCTGGTTTGGACACCATGTATAATGACACGCTTCAGGGCTGCTAAGGACAGGGAAAAGCCAGAATCTGTTAGCCTGACTAGCTAGAGTCAAGCAAAGGCCATCAGACACCAATCTGGCTCCACAGGGACACCTGTGTGATACCTGCAGGCATGGTATCTCCTAACAGGGCTTAGCACTGAAGCTAGAACAGAGAGAACCAGGACTTCTGACCCAAGATGAGAGAGCAGGCACTAGCCCAGAATGGGTGCAATATAAGGAGGCTGCCTGCTTGGCTCCCCACCCCCACAGCCAACCAACTGGTTCTGCCAGATGGCAACAGCCACCTGCCACTTCACCCGAAAGCTTGCTGCCACGTGACTGTGAGCTATAGGAGTAGCAAAACCCTTAAGCTGAGTAAATATGTCCCTGTACTGTGGGTCTTAAAGTTAGCTGCTCCCAAAGTTGCCTTACGAGAGCAGCAGGGGAGCCCCCTGCTACTGCCACTCCCTTCCCTCCTTCGGTGAAAGGTCCTCCCCAGGAGAAGCTTCCTGTCCCACGTCTGAAGCCAGGGCTCAATTCTGGCAAAGTCCCCTGTGGTCCCTCTGCCTCAGCCCTCCCATTCATCATCCTCTGCTGGCTTTCCCCTCTACCACACTGTAACTGGCACAATTTTGCCAGTCCAGGGGGTAGGGCTAGGTGGGGACAATCTTCTTTCAGGCCAGGAGGCGGGGGAGAAGGTCTTCTTCATGGGCTGTCTTTGTCATCGCCTCCTCTGCCTTAGCCTGGACAAAGGCAGGCATTGACAGCTGGAACTGGCACTTCATCCAGTACCAAGGCTACCGAGGCCAAGCCTGGCATTTCAGGGGCTCAGCGCCTTTGGCCCTGTGGTGGGGGCTTAAGGGCTACCCTGTGTTCTTTACAGGGACCCGGGGAAACTTGGGGGGTAGCACTGTGCATTGGCACAAGAGTTGTGGGCCACATGGGGAGAACTGACTCAAGGAAACCCTGTCCCTTTGTCTCTACATCCCAGGGGGTGTCTCCCTGGAGATGGGGAGTGGCAGGGAGCTCCCTGGCTAGAACAGTTCTAGTGGGGGTAAGAGCACCAGATAGTGGGTCCCTGGCCTGTGCCTCTGGACAGAGGGGGCATTGTTGGGGTGGAGGCAGGGCTGCCTTGGCCAGGCCACTATTGACAAAGCTCCCAGCTGTGGTGGAGCCTGGTCGCCAGGCCCTTGCCCCCTCCCCTGTCTCCTTCCTCCCCCAGGACCAGCATGAATGGGGCTGAGCCTCGACTGTATCCCTCCCACTCAGGACAATGACCCCCACAACCATCTTGTGCCCATCGCCACTACTCTGAAGCAGCTGATGTGAGGAGACCCCATTTCTGCACTCCGTAGTGGTGGTAAGTGTCTGGGTCCTGTGTCCCCAAAGATGTCACTGAGAGATGCAGAAAGGGATAAATTTGCCCAGGCTAGGCATAGGGCAGCCTTGCAGGGAGCTTTCATATCCTTTGCCTTCTTGGGTAACAACCTCATCTCCCCCATTACACACACTCAACTCTGTCACAGGTACACATAGACACTAGAGGAAATGGTCTTTCCTATCTGTGTTGTCAGGAACTGGGATCTTTCTGAATGGCAATATGTGGCTTCTGGCTGGCACATGCCCATGACTAGCTAGCTGAACAGATCCCAGCTCAGTTCAGGATATGCCACCAGCCCTGTCCCTCTTTCTGGAGCTCTACTCAGGGTCAAATCTGTCTGAATGTCACCTAGTTAGGCAGTTGGTCAATGACTGCTACTGCCTGCTATTGGGTTGGAGGGGACTTGGGAGCTGGTCCTTGCCCTCAGTGTCTTAGACTCAGGGTCCCCTCCACTCACAACTGGGGCTACTTCTGTCCTGTTTCCCTACTCCCTGTCCTCTACTTCAGTCAAGCTCTCTCTGACCTTTCTCTCATGGCTCTCCTCATCAGCACTCCTACACTGAGGACCCTGCTGGAGCTAGGGCTCCACAGACTCTAGCTGCTGGGGTCCTTCACTCTGGTACCCTGAGCTGACTCCTGGTGCCCCAGAGCTCCCCAGCACACTCCAGGTTGGCTGGAAGTTCTTCTGCCACCCCTACATGGGCCACCCAGTGGTGGTCAAAGGCCCTGTTCCTGTCCACCTGTTCGTTACTGTTTTGGGGACAGTGTACCTGGTTGCATCTTAACCAGAAGCCAAAGCTCTCATTGACTGTGTCATTGAGCTAGTTAAGGTCCTTCCATGCAGCTGATTCTGACTGCCTAGGATGGGTTTTCTCTTTATTCTCCATTGATGCATGATTGCCTGGCTCCTCTTCTCCCCATATTGCCTTTCTTTGTCTGGGTGACCATAGAGTTGCCCGGTAGATGTGGTTTTCTTCCCCCATGTCCCTCCCCTTTCCTGCCTCTCTGTCACTCAGAGTTCCTCTACCATGGCCACGTGGATTCTCAGGACTTGTCCCCTTTATACTTCACATGCCTATAAAGCAGAAGATAAAAGAATTCATTCCTTGTATACCCTCATCCCCATCCTGTCTCTTTCTCCAGATCTAGGACACTTTCTTTGTCCTTTCTGTCCTCTCCCTGACTGTCTCTCTCTGAGCCCCCCTCCTCCTCTATCCTCCCTCCCCCACAGCCTTTCTCTTTCCCAGTTTAGTTCTTATTCTCTCCCTTGCCTGCTTCTGTCTGTTGGGGAATGGAGTACCTTCAGCATTCTCCCATCAGGTCTCATGCTGACTGACTTCCTCCAGGTTCCTGTGATGGCTCCCTGGCCTCTCTTCACCCTCCACCTTCTGCTGCTGTTCCTGCTGCTGCTGCCCTTAACCAGAGCCCATCGCTTCTCTGTACCCAACACCAGCTTCAACCACCTGGTGCTGGCACCAGGCCAGGGCACACTCTACGTGGGTGCGGTGAATCATCTCTTCCAGCTCAGTCCTGAGCTGAAGATGGAGGCTGTGGCTGTCACTGGCCCTGTCATTGACAGTCCTGACTGCGTGCCTTTCCGTGACTTGGCTGAGTGCCCACAGGCCCAGCTCACTGATAATGCCAACCAACTCTTGCTGGTGAGCAGCAGGGCCAAAGAGCTGGTGGCTTGTGGGCAAGTGAGGCAAGGTGTATGTGAGAAGCGGAGCCTTGGGGATGTGGCTCAGGTGCTGTACCAGGCTGAAGACCCTGGTGATGGGCAGTTTGTGGCTGCCAATACCCCCGGAGTAACCACAGTGGGCCTAGTGGTGTCCTTGCCAGGCCAAGACCTCCTGCTGGTAGCCAGGGGCCTGGCAGGCAAGCTGTCAGCCGGGGTACCGCCCCTAACTGTGCGCCAGATGGCTGGGCCACAGCCTTTCTCCAGCGAAGGTCTGGGACGACTCGTGGTGGGAGACTTCTCAGACTATAACAATAGCTATGTGGGGGCTTTTTCTGATGCCCACTCTGCCTACTTTGTCTTCCGTCGCCGTGGGGCCCGGGCCCAGGCTGAGTATCGCTCCTATGTAGCTCGCGTCTGCCTTGGAGATGTCAACCTTTACTCCTATGTGGAAGTGCCCCTTGCCTGCCATGGCCAGGGCCTTATCCAAGCTGCCTTCCTTTCTCCGGACACATTGCTAGGTGCATTTGCAGCAGGCATAAGTCAGGCACAATCAGCCCTGTGTGCCTTTCCCTTAGCTGACCTGGACAAGAGTATGGAACAGGCCAGGCGACTTTGTTATACCACTGGTGGTCAGGGGCCCAGTGGCATGGAAGAAGCCACTGTGGAGTATGGTGTCACATCCCGCTGCGTTACTCTGCCTCCTGTGAGTGATGAGAGCCTGGCTCCCAAATATTGACAAGGGGTTCTGTCTTCACTTTCTGTTCCTTGCTCTGCCCTGCCAGCCCTCTTCCTCTGTGATATGGGACATGGGTGCTCTCCAGGAATAGCTCCTGGTTAACCTTTTAGCTAGGTATATCAATAGATATCAGAGGGCTTTGTCTCCAAGCTCCAACATGCTCTCAGCCTGTTTCTTTCTATCTCTCTTCCTCTGTGGGACAAATTGTGATGTTGTGATGCTTGGGGACCAGCCTTCCAGACCATACTGGCCAGGATGCTCTGGTCCCTGATTCCTCCCAACTCCTATCTTATTGACTATGGGATATTGTCTGCTCCCAGGGGAGGGCCTGCCCGCTGCTTCTGGGTATTGATTCTCTATACCTTGCCTATCCAGGACTCCCCTGAGTCATATCCCTGTGGTGATGAACACACCCCCAGCCCCATCGCAGGCCGTCAAGCCGTGGAGGCCCAGCCTCTACTACAGCTGGGCCAGCCCATCAGTGCAGTGGCTGCTCTCCAGGCAGATGGGCACACAATAGCCTTCTTGGGAGACACCCAGGGCCAGCTACATAAGGTGAGATCCTGACCCATGGGGGTGTTCTTGGATGACTTCTACACTTGCAGGCTGCGCCTGGCTTTGCTGCTTGTCCAGGTGGTCCTGCCATTTGTGGCTCGGGACACGCTCAGCTGTGTCCCACTGGTGGGTCAGAAGGCTTCATTGAACCTGGACATCTGGTAGGATCCACCTCCTGCTCTAGTCCCCCAGGCAACTGTGCCTTCTCTAACCAATGGGGTTGGTGCTGAACGTGAGTGGAGACGATATGTAAACAGGCCCAGAGGACCTGATGCTCAGAAGTAGCCTGGATTCAGGAGTCTCTCTAAAACAAACCCTGTTTCCCAGTGAACTTTTTGTCTCTATAGCTGCCTTCTTATGTGGCAGAATGGCCGGATATTCAAGAACCTCAGCCAGGGACCTTTTGCTGCCCCAGCCTTGTTAGTTCCTAAAGAGTGGCTTAACCTTGAGGGCCCTGAATGAGATAAAGTGGCATGGCTATATCTTGATGGCCTAGCAGGAGGGGCATCTGACTCTGGAGAACAGGCTACTTCCGGACAGTCTTTATGTTTCTATAAAGGAGACAGGAAAGCATGTGCCTTCAGTGGCCAGCATTAAGCCATCAAGAGAGCTGGCCTTGGCTTGGCAGAGCTGCCCAGTCCTATCTTTGCACTCCTGTCCAGGTCTTCCTTAACAGCTCCCAAGGCCAGATATACCATTCCCAGCAAGTGGGGTCCCCAGGCTCAGCCATCATGCCTGACCTGCTGGTAGACAGTAGTGGAGACCACCTCTATGTCCTGACTGCCCAGCAGGTAAGGCCTGTCTCTGAGGTTGAGTGGAATGTCTCTAAGTGACCTGAGCCTTTGTAACCCATCTTTATTTCTCCCTCACTGCCCATTCAGGTGGATCGGATTCTTGTGGCAGCCTGTCCTCAATTCCCCAACTGCTCCACCTGTCTCCAGGCTAAGGACCCATTGTGTGGCTGGTGCATCCTTCAAGGCAGGTAAGCATGAGCCCAGACTTGAACCAACAGGCGCTGGGAGTCAGGAAGCTGTCCACAGAAGCAACTGTAAAGTGTGCCAACTTGGCTCAGTGTTGCTGGGGTCCCTAATCCCATCTCAGTTCATTGGGTCACCATTCACCTCTCATTCTAGTAATCTTACCTCAGGCCAGGCCGCTGACACCCTTCCCAGGACCTGTGACTTGCTGCTGGTGTTCCTTGGTTCACTCCAGCTTTCCTCCATCCTGAGCTATCAGCCCAGAACTCATTTATGTAAACCTGAAATGTGGGCCAGGAATACAGCTCAGTTAGGAGAGTGTTTGCCTAGCACGCACAAAACTCTGGGTTCAACCCCTAGCACATATATGCTAGGCCTGGTGGTATATACCTATAATCCCAGCACTTGGGAGATAGAGGCAGGAAGATTAGAAATTCAAGGTCAGCTGGGTGGTGGCAGCGCAGAGGCAGAGGCAGGCAGATCTCTGTGAGGTGGAGGCCAGCCTGGTCTACAAGACTGAGTTCCAGGACAGGCTCCAAAGCTATACAGAGAAACCCTGTCTCAAAAAAAAAAAAAAAAAAAAAAAAAAAAGAAAAGAAAGGAAGGAAGTGTTTTCCTCTTACTCCCAGTTAAAGCTAAAGCCTGCACCCTGGCCATGAAGTCCTATGTTCCCTTCATGCCTCCTCCTTACTGTGCTCCAGCCAGCATCCTCCAAACCCCATGCCAGGAAGCCTGAGACTCACTTGGTGAACCAATGGGCTCCTGCCTGGCAGGTGTACTCGGAGGGGCGAGTGTGGACGGGCAGCCCAGCCAAACCAGTGGCTGTGGAGCTATGAAGACAACTACTGCCTTCGCATCCAGAGCCTGCTACCAGCCCAGCACCCACGCCAGGAACAGGGCCAGGTGAGGAGGCACTTACACTGCTGGTCTTTCAGCCAGTGTGGCCATTGTCTGTGGAAACACCATCTCAGCTGCTTCCTGTCCACTTGTACCACTCTGTTTCCCTCTCATGTGTCATAGGTCACTCTGTCTGTTCCCCGGCTGCCCACCCTGGCTATGGATGAATACTTCCATTGTTCTTTTGGGGACTATGACAGTCTTGCTCAGGTGGAAGGGCCCCATGTGGTCTGTGTCACCCCTCCTGGAGATCAGGTGCCACCTAACCCTCCAGGCTCAGGTGAGTGGACCTTTGAGTAGGGTACTAGGGTGGAACTGGAGCAGGCAGGAGCTACAAGACCTTCTCCGCCACCACTGTCCCCTTGCAGATCATGTCACCTTGCCTCTGGCCCTGATGTTTGAGGATGTGGTTGTAGCTGTCACCACCTTCTCCTTCTATGACTGCAGCGCCGTCCAGGCCTTGGAAGTGGCTGCCCCGTGAGTTCCTGGGTCTGACTCTTGATGGGTAAGGGTGGAAATCCCAGATGGTATACAGCCTGAGAGCCCTGCCCCTCCAGGTGTCGTACTTGTGTGGGCAGCCTGTGGCATTGCCACTGGTGCCCCCAGAGCAGCCGCTGTGTATATGGAGAGCACTGCCCAGAGGGTGAGAAGACTGTCTACAGTGCCCAGGAGGTTGGTATGACCAACATGCAAACTCTTTGCACCTGATCATCCCAGAACGCCACCCCAGCAGGACGGAATCAGACTCACCCAGGAGTGAGCCCATGCAATTTTGAAGGGCTAAGGCTGTCCTTTCCCTAGGTGGACATCCAGGTTCGTGGCCCAGGGGCTTGTCCCCAGGTTGAGGGCCTAGCAAGTCCTCAGTTGGTGCCCATGGGCTGGGAGAGCCATTTAGCCCTGCACATTCAGAACCTTCATTATTTCCGAGTGAGTAGTCAGGTGAATGAGGACATAAATGAGGGGAGAGTAGACAGTGTTTACAGCCTGACGTTATGGCATCTGCATCTTTCAGGGTCTGCCTGCCTTATACTACTGCTGGCTAGAGCTGCCGGGAAAACTGCAGAAGCTACCTGCCTCCCTAGAGGAAATATCCAGGGACTCTGGCCTCATTCATTGCCAGGCTCAGCAGGTAAAAGGCTGCTTGATGTCTTAGGCAGCCCCACTCCACTCAAACACACCCACACCCACACACCCCCCACCTCTGCTTAGTCCCTCTTCCTCTTACCTTTACTTACAAAAACCCACTCTGTGTTGGGTGCCCTGGGCATGTATCAGGGAGCAGAGTGACTGCAGCCTCTGTCTCTCTGCTTAGAGATATAGAGGACAATCATGCCCATTCTAAGGAGGTGCTCTGGACAAAGTAGGAGGCAGAGATGTCCCAAGCCGGGGAGTCAAGCCTGATCCTACCCTCTGTCCATAGTTCCACCTGTCTATGTCCCAGCGGGAGCTCCCAGTGCCCATCTATGTAACCAGAGGTGACATCCAGCGGCTGGACAATGCCCATGATCTTCATGGTGAGCCCTGAAGTGACAAGGCAGGTGGGGGGGCAGGATATGAGACTCATGGGCAGTGGCTCAACATGT